AAAAAAAAAAAAAAAAAAAAAAAAAAAGAAAATTATTGAATTGAAATTAAGATGAAAATATTGCTGTAATTTTTATATTTTATTTAAATTCACATTATATATAAGTAAATGGTTAGTTTTGATTGAAAATATGTTTATTCATAGGTTGAAGCAACCTTTGACAAGTCAAACATTTGCTCCTATATTCAACCATAATGGAGACTCTTCTACTTACACTGTCTCATTCGATTAGGTAGTGCCCCGTGCCAACATTTCTGTCCCAATTCAACCTATAGCTTTGCTATGACTTGGGTAGTTGCACTCATATTCGTTGAACCCTCTAGTACCATGAGCATAGGCACCACCAGCCATCTATGCTTAAGCTCCATGAAACTCCGTTCACAAGCTTTGTTTAAACAATTTAGATGGAATACATATTTTATTAAATTCGATTCAAAAGTATACAAAAGATAAACACCCATATTTATATTTGTTGAATTAGGAGTTTGAATTTGGATTTGGATTTGGATGATGTCCTCGTTGGAAGGTGTGCCAACAAATTCTCCTTATCATTATCAACGGTCACGATCATTTTGATCTTGTGCGTCAAAAGAACTGTTGTGAGATGGCCAAACGGGGGATTTAACGTCGTCGCTACCCACCCTGTGCCATTTTGGAGGAACAAGAAACGACAACGAATCGCTTACGCCCTGTTATGAAGAAATATAGATAAACGTTGTTTTGTTTTGCTTCCTTCTTTGGAATTGCTAACTCCGAGGCTCCTTCTCTTTCTATCTCTTCATTCATTTCTCTACCAGCCGATTCAACTGGGGTTGCGGCTTAAGATTTTTCATTTCGGCGGGTCGTATTTGCTGAAACCGACTCCCCTGATCTGGGTTTGTGATTAGGTACCCAATTAAATTAATCGCTCTGACTGTTTTCTTTCTCTTGATTCTTTCCATTTTGTGATGTTTTTATGTGCTTGTGCTTGTTCTGTTGTTCTAGGGATTGGTTTGATTCGCACTTGATGTGGGGGTTTTGTTCTTCTAATGTTTTTTTGATTTGTGAATTGTGGGGTTTTGCCTCTTGGGATTTTAATTCCTTTGTTAATGGAAGTTTTGAAGTCAATTCTGATGGATTGGGTAGCGTCGTCTTCATATGCTTGGCTAAGTAGCTCACGATCAGCCATAGTTTTGGGGACCGATTGGCAATCTCATAGGGCTGCTGCTATCTCGTATTTGTTTGGTTACTTCTTTCTCTTGGTACTTTGTGAGCGCTTGTTTGCTGGTGGTTTGGTCCTTTTGAATTGTTTGTTCTTTTGATTCCGAGTTTACTTTTTCCATTTTGATAATCGAGGTATAGGTCCCACTCCTTGGATTATCTGCAACTCATCCTGGAGAGACGATCAGGGTTTAAAGTTTTTCAAATTTCAATCTGGGCCTCTTGCTGGGAGTTTATGTGGAATGTTTAGATGTTTGGTCTTTTACTTGACTGGAGCTCTCTTTTATTGTTTGGCTCCTTTTGGTGTGCTTTGTTTTGTATATCTTGTATGGAAAAAGTATAGGATGGGGTCTGACCCTTGCACCTATCTTGTTAGATTAATAGGTTTATGCTAAGATTAAGAGCTTTAATGTCTTGGGTTGAAGAACATACGAGATTTCTGGATTTCTCATGAGTTTAGTGTTCTCATCCTTTGAATTTAATGTTCTCTGTCACCAATTGATATGGGAATCACAAGAAATCATATAACTAGCGGGTTTTGATATATATTTTTTTTTTTTATGACTTTGTTCTTCTCTTTGTGATTACTTGCCTAATTTTGTTTGTTTCGTGTCGTTTAATTATATTGATTCCTTTACTTTCTCCTGTTTGTTTGATTCATGATGTCTTGCTGCATTTTGACTTGGAAGGTGCATAGTTTTGAAAGATGAGTAAGCTGGATGCGACCCGAGCAGAACTTGCTCTTCTAGTTCTGTATTTGAATAAAGCAGAAGCTAGAGACAAAATATGTAGAGCTATACAGTACGGTTCCAAATTCTTGAGTAACGGTGAGCCTGGTACTGCACAGAATGTCGACAAAACTACCAGCTTAGCTCGAAAAGTTTTCCGTCTTTTCAAGGTCTGCTTTATAAAGACTGTTCTTTCGTGGGATATTAGTTCTTGATCAGTGTGTGATGCATTTGCTTGATCTTCTCATGTTGGTTCCAAGGTCTTATAATTGGTTTATGTATGTTTTTTTCATGCTTTTAGTTTTGGTTTACAGTTTGTGAATGATCTGCACGCTCTTATTAGTCCAACTCCTCAAGGAACTCCCCTTCCTCTTGTTCTGCTGGGAAAGGTATCAGAATGATCATTTTTTATTTTCTTATCAATCATCAATGGTAGCTTTTCTGAGTTCTACTTGTTCGTGTTTCCAGTCCAAAAATGCATTGCTATCGACTTTTCTATTCCTCGACCAAATCGTTTGGCTCGGTAGAACAGGCATCTACAAAGTACGACAGTTTCTTTCTTCAAGTTTGATGCTATATTTATGAATTTCAACACTTGAGTCTGATTTCTTATGTGTTATGTCTACGAACAGAATAAGGAACGCGCTGATCGTATTGGAAGGATTTCTTTGTTCTGTTGGATGGGCGCGTCATTCTGTACCGTGTTAGTTGAGGTATGTTCATTTGACTTGTAAATGATTCAATAATTCAAGTTTTGAAGTTTTTCTGTTCTTACAATGTCAGCTTGGAGAGATCGGGAGGCTATCAGCTGCAATGAAGAAGCTGGAGAAGGATCTCAAGGATAAGAAGAACAATCAACAGGAAGTGTGTTATCATGAAGTGTGTAATCAGTTGTCAAATAAGTCATTGATCCTTATTTGTATACATTAGTATTCACTTCGATTCGTTTTGCGAGCGTAGGACGATAAATACCGTGCAAATCTTAAAAAATCAAATGAAAGGACCTTGGCCCTGGTTAAAGCATCCATGGATTTATTGGTCGCTGTCGGACTACTTCAGTTGGCACCGAAGAAAGTTACTCCACGTGTCACGGGCGCTTTAGGATTTGTTAGCTCACTGATCTCTTGCTATCAGGTATGCCTAAATTATAGATTGTGCCTTAAAGTTACAAATCATGTGTAGAATTATGGAGGGGTAAATCATGTCGGAGATCGGTCGGTTTTAACATTTGATGGATGACGTATGTGCAGTTGCTTCCTCCGCCATCGAAACCGAAGGCGTCGTGAAGAAGGAAGGGGAGATGCCTCCCTCAGGAAGGTGATTTGAATGAAATAACCAGTTGAATTGGTGTGTTGTTATAATGGCATATGGTGTTTTTTTTTATGTAGTCTGCAGTCCCCTTAGAAGGGTAGGGTGACCTTCAAATGTCTCTTTGATAACATTATTCCCTTAAAATAAATAGATGCTGTTGTTCTTTTGCGTCCTTAAACTTTCATTTCATACCATGTTTTTACTCAATAATTCAAATTATTATTATTATTTTGGTAAATTAACATTGAATCAACTATTTAATCAACTATTAATTGTATCTTTTTAATTCATTATTTTATCTCTCTCTATTTTTTTTTTTATAAATTTGTTATATACTAATGATTTATTATTTGATTTTTTTAAATGAATTATTATCATTGGATAGCACATACAAAATAAATTTGATATATATTTCCCTATGTTATTATTTATGGATGCTAAATAAATTATTCAAATAGTTATTAATTATCATGATATAAATATTTATTATGCAAAATTTTTAAGATATTTAGTTGATTATAAAAAGATGAGATGAGACTATTTGTAGTTCAACCAAAGAGCCAACAATTCCCTCTCAGCTACTTCAAGAAATAAACGGCTACAACAACAAGAATCTTTCCCTCCGGCCATACTCCGGCGAAACTCCGGTGTAATCGACAACCAAACATGTGGGAAGCCGGATCCAGTACAAACTTCGACATCACTTATCAAGAATGCAATTCTATGACCCCTCACCTACCTTTCTTGATGGGCAACCAATTCGACGTTCAAGCCTACGCCGACAAATACCCAAGTAGAACCAAGATCATACGCCTCCTATCCATCGCCCATCATTGTCACGGCCACAACGACGATCGAGAATTAGAAGCGCTCAAAATTGCCTATAAAGAGGCCAAGAAGGGCAAGGACGTGCAACTATTCGCCACAGTCGTTGAGAAAATCAATGGAAGATTATCCCCCGAGTACGACATGGATGAAGATTGGTGCAATGAAGTGATAAGAAATTGGAAGGAGAATAGGGTGAGATTAGGAGAAGAGGCATCGAAATGCCAGGTACGAACGAACGAACGAACGAACAGATTAATAAAAATAATGGGTTTGATCCATCAATGCTTATTTGTTATAAATGAATTAACGTAGGACGATTACGAGAAAGGATTGGCTTATGCGGAGGAGGACACAAAAGCTGCATGCAAGAAGGCAGCAAATATGTTCTACATGCATGGGGAAACAGATGCTGCTAGAGTATGGTACTTGGCTACCATACGTTACTGCAGGGTTGAGTTGGAGTATTGGGAGATGTTCATGCGCTTTGTTTTGTTGTTCATCGAGTGGGGCAACTTTCCAAGAGCCCAATACACTGCCATTGAAGGCCTCAAGCATAAGCAGGATTTCAACATGGACTCCTTTACTGAAAATACTATCCATTCTACTATTGGCTTGACTTCCATTAGACATAGATCATTTACTCACGCCGCGCTTCGGGTTTGCTTTTTTGTTTTCGGTTTTTTTGTTTCTTTTGTTTTATGTTATTGGGTTATGTTTATACGTGGCGTATTTGTAGTTCTTGCAAACGGGTAAAGAAGTGGGTAACCAATTTTCGATGATTCTGGCTGATCATGATATTGCAACGTATGGTGCGTTGTGTACGCTTGCAACGTTTGAGCAAGAGGAGTTGCAGGTATCGATTTTAATGGTGGTATGCACGAAAAATGATATAAGCTGATTATAGGGTTTTTAATATGGGCAGGATTGTATTTTTGAGAATAAGGATTTTCAATCTTATTTGGATTCAATGATTGAAGTCAAAGAGCTTCTCCATGATTTCTGCTCAAGGTATTGTAGTGAACACTTTTACCTCACAAAACCTTTCTTACGTCGAATAACGGAAAATGTTCTTAAAAAAAAATCGATATCGGCTTACAAAAAGTTTACATCAAACACTCGATAGCTATTCCATTCCCGTTGTCTATGAAACCCGTTCTAAATTATCTATCCCTGTTTTTTTTTTTTTTCCCTCTAATTAGAGACATTAAAAATAGTTTATGTGAGTAACCACGACCACCTCCATAATAATATGATATTGTCCATTTTGAGCATAAATTTATGTGGCTTTGCTTTTAGTTTCCCCTAAAGATCTTGTCACAACGGAGATAATATTTTTTATAAACCCATGATTTTCTTCTTAATTAGTTGACACGGGACTATTTCTCTCAATAATTGAAACCTTTTAAAGTCGGGAATGGAATTATTATTATTATTTTTTACCTTTTTGTGCAGAGATTATTCTTCAGTCTTCCGACGTCTTGCTAATCTTCGAGAATGGTTATTGTTCGACATACATTTATTTGATCGATTCGAGGAATTGCATAAAAAAATCAGAAATAAAGCTATTGTCCAATACGTTCGACCATTTTCAGTGATTGATTTAAAGACGATGGCAGAGATTTTCAACACAAGCGTTGAAGATCTTAAGAAGGAGCTTGTAGCTTTGATACTCGATAACCAAATTAAGGTCTTGGCTTTTGAAGCTCACATCTCAGCTTTCTAAAATTTTGGTCATTTCTTGTTACTAATCTTCAACAATCTTTTGTGTTGCAGGCCAAGATTGACTCAATTCAAAACGTTCTTCACGTACGAAGAGACGATACCATAGCCAATTTCAAAAAACTTCTAGAACGTTGTAGTGAAATTGAACGTGATGCGAAGACCATTCTATTATTTAACGCAGTATTTAACTATCCATTTGTTCGCAATGAAGAATGATTTGTTCATGCGATGATAATAGCAAGTCTTGAAATTTCTTGATATAGTTCATGTGACGACGATCTGTATGGAAGGACAAATTTGTTGATGCGTTTTAAGTAGATGAGACACCGGACACCTTTTTTGAATTTTCTTCTTTAGTTCCTTTCACTTAGTTGGTGCTGTTAGACATGGAAATTTGAAAGTTAGAGTCGTTCATGATTCTAATTCAATACTGAACTTCACTTCATTTATCGGAGCAATTAGAAAATACGCCCATGAACTCGTTACCTATTGTAATTAAGGTAATATCAATCTTATTATAGCCCAATAGCTTTAAAAGTATGTTGGTTTAATTTAATCTTTCACGCTCAATACCTCTAGCAATGAGGTTTTTCATAGCTGACGTAACCTGGGTTTCAGAAATGGTAGAATTTAATAGTTCTATTTTATATGTGCTTGAAAGGTAGTGATACATCGTGGAAGTGAAGAGGAGAGACCAACAAAGGAATACGAGAGATGAAGAACGACGGAAAACGTCGTCGGAGATGGTTCCAGGAAGAGAGGAAAACGGGTAAAGAAGACGAGGTCCGTGGATCTCAGGTCGAGAGGAAGTTGTCAGAAAATCGCGAGGAAAACGGGTAAAGAAGACGAAGTCCGTGGATTTCAGGTCGATCTGGATCGGGTACCCAACCGGTGATCCAATACCGCAACCATCTGTCTGTAGCCCAAATACTCACACAGACTGAAACCAAATCCGTTACCTCGGCCCAAACATATGCAGCTCGAAGTCAAGCCCACACCTGAGGCCCAAATATATTGCCTCGGTCCAAACATTGGCTCGCGACCCACGCCTCGACTCAACTCGACATGCACACGCGTCAGTGCTCCATTGTGTCACATGTCACACCTGCAACAAAACAACCCCTCGACTCATACAGCTTAAACGACCTGGCTTCGAAATCAGCTTCTCAACTCGGTAAAGGACCATTTGACCAATTTTCACCATTTTGACATCCCTAAGCTAATTTTGACCCTAAGATTTGTGTACTCAAATTTAGGGAAACGGGTCAAGTAAAGTGGTCACGTCATTCATGCTTATGCTTTCATGATGACATATGATGATGTGAATAAGTTATATGATGATGTCTTATGATGTTGTGCGATGATTATGATGTATTATTTGATGACGTTATATGTTGATGATGACATTTTTTGTTGATGACGATGCATGATAATATGACAATGTAAGATGAAGTTTTCTTAATGTGACATTATTTTTTATATTAAGATGAGATGTTATGTTGCATTACAACGAAGATTTTTCTAGAACATAACACTAGTTAATGTTAATGAATGCATGAAGACATTTGCACATATATTACTGATAGTATTGTAAGAACGTAACTTAGGGAAGTCGCAAGATAGTTTTAAAGATAGAGAAACCATAGAGCCCTCAAGCATTTTTGTGTACATAAACATTGGGCTACTTGTCTTTTTACGATGATGAGTATGGATGCAATACGCTACGATGATGATGGTGATCACGCCTCGCATGACACTCGACTATGATGGATTCAGAGGGTGCAAACTGCCTAGAGATTCATGCTTGCACGTGAGTCGTGGGTAGAGAAGAACTACCCATCCAATTTAGTACCAAATGAAAATGTTAGTAACTACCAAAATTGTATTTTGACGAGTATAAAAGACAGTGATTTGAATTTGAAGGGTTGTATGAGTTTTGAGGATGCTCGGAATAATGATAGCGCCCGTGTTTCCCCTAGTGAACGCCGTCTCCCCTCTGACACAAATAGCAACGCAAGCCGACGTGGACATATCGCCGGTGAGCTTCACCATAACAGTGTCCCAATACTTCCCTCGCTTCCTTACAGTGCTTCAACTGACCCCTCATTTCTTCGCATCCTTCTTAGTGACTCAGAATCTGAACGCCAGAATTTGCCTCGACTCATTCCACACCACATTGATATCCGCCCATCAGCTCTCCGCCGTCTCCATCAACCTCCTCGAGGTTTCCCGCTGCCTCCTTCTCGCCCATGAGAATACCGGTAAACACACCCTCTTTCTTTCTTTATCTATCAAGATTTTGATATTGATTTCTTGCTCCCTTTTTAGATACTGAACTTCTCGAGCGCAAGATGCTCAAATTGCTGCCTCCAGAACACAACGATGATCTGGGCGACATTGACTTCACCAACTGTGTTTCTATTCATTTAAGGGATTTTAGACGCATTGTTCATCAAGAGCTCTCTGTGTCCTACCAAGATCGAGGTAACCCATTTCTTTCCTTCTTTTTTTTTTCTAATTTAGGGTTTTCTTATTTAGGGAATGACCGTGGGTCGAGTTTATAAGTAAGGAAGAGGGAGTTCTAAATTGACTAATTAAGGGGATGATCATGAATTGGGTTTATAAGTAGGGAATACTTTTCTATTGGTATGTGTTTTGGGAAAACCCAAAGCAAAACCACGGGAGCTTATACTTAAAGTGGACAATATCATATTAATGTGGAGGGTGTTACTCCTAACATTAAGCTTGTTGCAGTTTGCATTACCACATCGGAGTCTCAAATCAAGCTATCCGTCGGTGACAAAAAGACCATTCTTACTCGAGAGGTATGAGAAAATTTGGTGTAAGATTCGAGAGAGTTGGAACTGAAAAGAGGGTAATAATGTATGTGGTGGTGCAGAGAGGAGAATATGTGAATATCAATCCTCAAGGAGTCGAGACTCGATTTGAATTCAGTATCCATCCCACTTCGTTTTTCAATAATCTGACTGATAAATCCAGAAGGGTTTGGTTCTTGAAGACTACTAATTCCTTAAGTATAATTTGTGTTCCTTTTGCATGTTGTGGTTGCTATTTGATGTATTTTCCCCCATGTTCTTGAAGAGTGTTGATATTGTTTGAATGTTTTCTTCTGATTCGTTGATATCAAAGGGATTGCAAATATATGGTGTCAATTTTCTTGTACAGAAAGAATTAGATTAAGTCGACCCTTTACGAGCCGTTTATAATTCTCTACTTTATGAATCAGGGAGAATGAATTATTACCAAAGAAAGCAGCAGATAGATGGTACTAGTTTTCTCCAAACCATGAATAAAGATTTATTTGTTGAAGTTCATATAATACCTTAATCATTCCCAATTATGAATAGAAGCTATAAAAGTTCTTCATAGTCAATTATACTGCATGTAAAATTGCATGGGACATATTCATACAGATAAAATTAGATAAAATTTCATACCTTCTGCTTAGGCTCTCGGAATTTCTTAGAAAAATATGGCTCGACACTGCTCTACGGTATCATCAGGGCTAATAACTGCAAAAAAAAAAAAAAAAAAAAAAAAAAAAAAAAAAAAAAAAAAAAAAAAAAAAAAAAAAAAAAAA